TTCGAAACTCACATCCCTATAGGAGAGAAGGGATAACCCGGAGCTCTATAAACGTTCACCTTTGTAGAGATACAGATGTTGTGTTGATTAGGCACTCCTGTACGTAGCCATAGCCACGTGTCCAGCTGGTCTTGCTGATCCTGGTGTCAGTATGCCTTTGTCCAAAGACCCATCAGTTGAGGTGCCGCTTCCTAAGTATTTGAAACCGCTTGTCAGTTGGGTGTCATCAACGGTAATTTTGGGGTTCTACAGACTTGGTGCTTGGCACGGGCTGGTTCTGTCTTGTCTAGGCTGATGGTCAGGTCAAAGAGCATAGCAGTGTCTGACAATTCGTTCAGCATCCAATTGTAAATCGCTGTCTTTGTGCGTCAGTCATGGTCACCAGCAAAGAGGGTTTCTTGAATGACTTTAAGGAGGCATGCATAAGGCATGCACTTGTGCCTTCAAGTGGCAAAGGTCAAAGAACAAGCTGTCTAACCAGTATCTGAGGTACACCCACTCCTTCAGACTCCTTCAGATAGCAGGTAACAACATGCAAGTGAAGAACAGATTGAAAGCTCAACAAGTACTGTAAGTAGTGTTTGTCTTTCAGACACTGAAAGGGACACATCAGCCAAGTACAGCTGTTCCAGGATCTATATGGAGAAGAAGTAATGGTTGGAAACTAATCAAGGAGAGAAGCAACCTAGAACTAAAGAGAAGCTTCCTGACAGCGAGAATAATTAACCAGTGGAACAACCTGCCTCCAGAAGCAGTGAATGCTCCAACACTGGAAGTTTTTAAGAAGAGACTGGACAGCCATTTGTCTGAAATGGTGTAGGGTTTCCTGCCTGAGCAGGGGGTTGGACTAGATGACCTCCAAGGTCCCTTCCAACTCTGTTATTCTGTTATCAAAGGCGTATCACCGAACTGGGTCAATGTTTAAATTAGTGAAACAGTGGGTTGATAGGTTCATGCAGATTATGCTAAAATAGTAGTAGTAAAGTGATGATCATAGAGTTCTGTTATTTAAAAAAGAGTCTGCTTTTGTGGAACAGCCTGATTGCATTTTAATTATCAGAGGAAGATTACATCTCATATGTTACAGCATCTGAGGTTGAGTCAGGTTTGTCATTATTTTATGCAAGGCTCTGGAATTTATATGGAGCTGGGAATTAAGTAGACCCATTTTAGCACAATTAGTACTTGCAGCAGGAATAACAATCACCTCTCTTGGGACAGGATCTGGCCTGCATTAAGGGACAGCTCAAATTCATGTGACCTTTATTATTATAAGCGCATTTAATGAGGAACAGTGGCATCCCAATGAACTAATGGTCTGAAGGACAGAAACATCCAAAAACACAGAAATTAACCCTTAAAGATCCCTTCCAACTACATTCTCGTCCACCCATGGTGATTCCAGTATGGAATCACCCTGAGAAAGTGAGAAATTAGATTTTTAGAACAAGGTTAAAGGACCAGCAAGGAAGTCATAATGGTATCCACATCTGTTTCTTATGCTGGGAGGCTGAGAAAAGATCACTCAAGTGCTGCATTCCTGATAAATATAGCTTAACGCAAAATGTGCCAAGGTTTTACAACACTGGGATTTTAAATGGTGCCACTTGATCCATGACACACAAAGTTTCTGTTTATTTTGCGCATCCATTTGTGGCTTGCTTTATATTCATCTGTAGGAAAACAGTCCTTGCCATTCAGAATTGTTAACATCTAGGTCAGGGATAGGCAACCTGGGCTCTTTAATGACTCCTGGACTTCAACTCCCAGAATTCCTGGGCCAGCCTGGCTCAGCTTGGAAATCTCTCCCTGTCCCCTCAGCATGGCTGGCTCATGAATTCTGGGAGTTGAAGTCCACCAGTAATAAAAGAGCCAAGGTTGCCTACCCCTGGTCTAGACTCTAGGCCTAGGGTAGGGGTCTTCAAACTTGGCCCTTTTATGACTCATGGACTTCCAGAATTCCTGAGCCAGCCATGCTGAGGGGAAAGGGAGAGGTTTCCAAGCTGAGCCATGGCTGGCTCAGGAATTCTGGGAGTTGAAGTCCACCAGTAATAAAAGAGCCAAGGTTGCCTACCCCTGGTCTAGACTCTAGGCCTAGGGTAGGGGTCTTCAAACTTGGTCCTTTTATGACTCATGGACTTCCAGAATTCCTGAGCCAGCCATGCTGAGGGGAAAGGGAGAGGTTTCCAAGCTGAGCCATGGCTAGCTCAGGAATTCTGGGAGTTGAAGTCCACGAGTCATAAAAGAGCCAAGGTTGCCTACCCCTGCTCTAGGTCAATGTTTTTCCAACTTGGCAACTTTAAGAAATATGGATTTCAGCTTCCCATGCAAGCTGGGGAATTCTGGGAGTTGAAGTCCATAGATCTTAAAGTTGCCAAGCTTGTAAAAGGCTGATCTGGGTTTGAATGACCAGAAGGGAGTGTTTTTATTAGCAGATCACGCTGTCCAGATCTCTCTCAAAGACACACTCTTAGAGTCCATGGCAATCCATTATAAAGTGGATTTCTTCACTTAACACAGTAAATATCCTATGCGAACTTAGTAAAAATAAACTTGGCGGCTTGCCTCTTGCTTGGGTAAACTTTATGCAATGGACCATGGATACAGGCTTAACAAATCTCAACTTGAAACCCATCTCTTTATTTACTAGTTTCGGCAACCTGTTTTATATGGCTTAATTTCAAACATTCTCTGGAAACAATCAGAGGAGAAAGGAAAGAAGGATTAATAATCCTAACTGTCAGCTGAGAAAAATGTTCCTTATCACTGCTAGAGGGAAAAATATCAGCTTCTTTAAAGTATATAAAGGTATGCACAGATATGATCTAAAGTTAATACTTCTTTTTCTGCAAAAAAAAGTTCATTTAGGGCAGTGGTTCTCAACCTGTGGGTCAGGACCCCATTTGGGGTCGAATGACCATTTCACGGGGGTCACCAAACCATGCTGTCCGCCATTTTTTTCCCTTTTTCCTAGCTGTCCTACTCCCTCTTATTGGTGGCCACACCCACTTGGGGGTCACCACAACATGGGGAACTGTATTATGGGGTCACGGCATTAGAAAGATTGAGAATCACTGATTTAGGGACCAAAGTTATAACGGCACTAAACAAAATGACTTATGACCGTTTTTCACACTTACAACCATTGCAGGTTTCCGATGACCCCACAATCAAAATTCAAATGCTCGGCAACCAACTCATATTTATGACGGTCGTAGCGTCCGGGGGTCACGTGATCCCCTTTTGTGAGCTTCTGACAAGCAAAGTCCATGTGGAATCCAGATTCACTTAACAACCGTGTTACTAACAGTGATTCAGTTAACAACTGTGGCAAGAAAGGTCGTACGATGGGGCAAAATTTACTTAACTGTCTCACTTAGTAACATATAATTTTAGGCTCAGTTGTGGTCGTAAGTCAAGGACTACCTCGTACACTTTTGAAATCAGTGGGAGGCAGAGACAGAAACGCTCCCAAATCCACATCAAAGCTTTATGCCAAAGTTTCTCAACCGTACCAACTTCAAGCTGCATGAACTTCAGCTCCCAGAATCCCGCAGCCAGCTCTTCTGGCTGGGGGATTCTGGGAGCTGAAGTCCATGCAGTTTAAAATTGCTGAAGTTGAGAAACACTGCTTTTTGCCACCTCTTTTATAAGGGTGACAACGTTCACTTGGCAGGCTTGTATAAACAGTGACAACGTTCACCCGGCAGGCTTAAAAATTAGTCTCAATGTCCTTGGTAAAATTTTCAGCCAGTAAAAGTGGCATCTGCTAACTCATTTGTTATCACAAATGATCTGGAACACAACAAAGTTAGGAAACAGTAATAAAGAATATAATTTCTGTTGCCACTAAATTGGCCAGTTAGGTAACACACATTATATCTTAAAAGTAGAAGCACCTCCATGAAAACTGCACTGAATTGGTGTTATTCCTTTGTTGTTATTGGTAGCAACTAAGCTTTTTTTCATAATTTATTAGAATTTTTTTTATAAAGAATTTCTAATATTTGTTTTGACACGTCCTATTTCAATCTCTGCTGTTTGATATGTTTCAGGGCAGTGAGTCATTGGAGAGACTGAATAGACATTTAGAGGTGTCTGTTATATTTAAGCCCAATTATTCAAAGCACAAAAGTTGCCCACACAATATCCAAAGATGTCAGGTGCCACTGAATACCATACTTAATTGATGCTTGCATCATCTTCAAACTGTTAAAATGAATTACGTTTTAAACTAATTGTCTTAAAGGATGTGATTTGAAAACACAACGACCACTCATAATAATGCTCATTGAGTATAATGATAAAATAATATTAATAGTGATTCAATTGAGTATAATTGGGCAACAATTCTCAGAAAAACCAAATGTCTTTTCCTGCATGATACAATGAGGGTTTTATAAATGAACAATTACTTTAGCCCATGAGTTAAACAGAACATACAGTATTCAGTGTCACAAGCATTGAGTTTTACAATCAAATGAAACAAATTATCAGAAAAAAAAACTTCTGAAAAATGACTACACTATGGAAATGGGCAATGAATAATACCTGTTTTAGCTCTCCACTTCCCTATATATAGGTTCAGTGTTATTCACTTTTAAAACGGGTACGCATCTCTTCCAGGAATCGCTGCCAATGTGAAGAACTACAGCAGTGGTTCTCAACCTGTGGGTCAGGACCCCATTTGGGGTCGAACGACCATTTCACGGGGGTCGCCAAACAAGGTTGTCTGCCATTTTTCCCCCCTTTTCTTTGGCCACGTCCCTGGCACCCAGTGATGTATAAGTGGTTGGGGGTCACCACAACACGGGGAACTGTATTATGGGGTCACGGCATTAGAAAGGTTGAGAACCACTGAACTACAGTATTAAAAATTCAGTGCTGGTTAAACCCTCACATTGCTTTCTCGGCCTTTGTTCAGGTAACAGGTCACAAGACCGGCCTGCGATAGAGAACTTTACAAAGGAGGGAAAGAAAAACACAAGCCGAGGGCCTACTGTTTCATCTTCAAGTTTCAGACGCAGAGTTTTGTCCCCCTCTTTGTAATTTCTGATGATTTCAGCTGATTTCCAGACTTCTTCAGGGTCAGGAATCCAAACCCTTGTATACTACAGTGGGAAAAACAATAAGAAAAAAATAAAATATTAAGATGAGCACCAGGAAACAAACATAGGTCAAAAAAGGAAGTTAACTGTCTACTCTTGAACCTTACCCTTAATGGTGCCCAGCTTTGTACCTAGGAGAGAAAGCCCCCCCCCCCACATAAAATCATTTAATATTGTAGTTCAAAGTATATATTGCTCTCAGTATAGACCTTTTTAGGATTTCCAGGCTGTTGATAAGATAATGCAATGCTAGGTTAGCAAACTTCCGCACTCTATATGGGGGGGGGGAGTTTAAGCAGCAGGAATTCTGTAACATTAATCAATCTATCCAGATTTATTGCAAGGAAGCTATTTTAATAAAGCCATGTTTAGATAATAATAATAATAATAATAATAATAATAATAATAGTAATAATAATCCCCCAGTGAGGCACTACCTTGACGTGGTTGTGGGGCTTGTGTACTCTGAGGAAGATGAGAGCTATGCCAGAGGTTCAACCATACTGGATAGGTCTCATCAGAGGAGTCAGACAAAGAGTGTCTCTCCCATAAAAAATATGGTGAGACGTAAATTGCAGAATGCCATACCGGCTCGGACGTCGCCCGGGTTAACAAGGTCCGCGCTAGATATTGGAGTTCCTGGATATCTGGTGAAAAATGGGTTACAGGACTCAGGACTGTTGGCTGAGCAACCAGGGCCAGCAGCTGCAGAACTACTGGAAGAAAAGGTGTTTACCCGTCGCAGATACACAGTGATGGAAAACAAAGAAATAATGATCTGTTACTACAGATCAAGTCCAACAAGAAGAGGATATCTAAAACGAATGCACCAGTTCTGGAAAGAACAACATCCAGAATCAGAAATAACAGAACAGAGACTAGCAGATCAACGCCGATTTATAACACGAAATAAAGTATTCACAGAAACAGAATTGGACGAACTGCAAAGGTTTACCCAGGGCAAAGAAATCAAAGCCTTACCAGAAGTAATTCAGAATGTAGAGGCAAACCAGGGGGAGTTGGCAGTGAAGGAATCCAGCAGAGATATACAACTGTTCTCATTTGGAAACCAGGCACCTCTTCCTCAGGAAGAACAAAACCCTCTAACTAAAGAAATAAAAGAATTGAAACAAAGAATAACTGAGCATCTAGAACAGCACAAAAACAACAGAATAAGGCTGCCTGCATTGAAGCTTGTTTCAAAGAAACAGCTAGCACAAGCATTAAAAGATGCAAATACTGCAATAGCAAGTATAAGCACCAATTCACTGAAAGAAACAAACCAACTAATGTACAGCACAGCTGCAGTTATAACAGAATACCTGGGATGCAAAATCAACAAAGAAGAAAAACAAACAAACAGTGCACCAGAAAAATGGAAGGTTAGACTAGAAAATAAGATCAGCAAGTTAAGATCAATGCAAGCAAGCTAGAACAGATGAAAGAAAAGAAGCTGAAGAACGAGAAGACCAAAGAATACCTAATCAAGAAATACCACTTAGAAACAAGGAAGATCAAGGAAGCACTGGAAATAATAAAGTAACAAATAACAGCTATAGCCAGGAAAATCAGTAGATATGAAGCTCGAATTGCAAACTATAGGCAGAACCTCCAATTTCAATCCAATCAGAAACATTTCTACCAATCCATCAATGGAGAAACTGCAAGGAATCAGTCAGTACCTGACAAGGAAGAAACAGTGCAGTTCTGGAAGCAGATATGGGATAACCCAAAGAAATACAACAAGGATGCGGCTTGGTTAAAAGAGGTGGATGCAAATAAAACAGAAGTTGAAATGAAAGAACTAGTAATAACAACAAAAATGGTAGAAAAAAGAGCAAAGAAAATCAAAAATTGGTCAGCACCAGGTGAAGATGAACTGCATGGGTTTTGGTTGAAACATCTAACTGTTATACACCCACTCATTGCCAAGCAGTTCAACAATATACTACAAGGAGGAGAAATTGAAAAGTGGCTAACAACTGGGAAAACCTACCTAATAATGAAAAATCCAGCAAAAGGGGCAACACCAGGCAACTACAGGCCAATTACCTGCTTACCAACAACTTTCAAATTACTAACTGGTGTGGTAGCTGATGCAGTACAACAGCATCTAGTTGAAAACAATCTCTTTCCACCTGAGCAGAAAGGAAACCGCCCCAATAGCAGAGGAACAAAAGATCAACTCCTAATAGACAAAATGATCTTGGAAAACTGCAAGAGAAGGAAGACCAACCTGAATGTGGCATGGATTGACTACAAAAAGGCATTTGACTCTCTGCCACATGATTGGATAATAAAGTGCCTAGAAATAACAGGAGTCAGTAGAAACATCAGAAAATTTGTGCAAAGATCGATGGCACAATGGAAGACACAGTTGCAGATCAATGGTGAGAGGCTGGGAGAGGTTAATATCAAGAGAGGAATATTTCAAGGAGATTCATTATCACCATTACTATTTGTCATTGCACTGTTTCCTCTGTCAACAATACTGAATAACTCAGGACATGGCTATCAAACATCAAAAACATCTGCCAGACTATCCCATCTCCTTTACATGGATGATCTGAAACTGTATGGAAAAACATCATCTGAAATAGAATCGCTGCTCAACACTGTCCGTATATATAGCCAAGATATTGTAATGGAGTTTGGCTTGGACAAATGTGCCACACTTGCTATCAAACAAGGAAAAATAGTGAAAACTGAAGGAATCAAGATGCCCCACGAAAATAACATTAAGAGTCTGGATGAGGAAGATACTACAAATACTTGGGTATCCTTCAAGCTGACAACATCAAGCACACTGAAGTCAAGAAAAAGGTTAGAGGTGAATACATCAAGAGAGTGAAGAAGATCTTAAAGTCCAAACTCAATGGAGGAAATACCATAAAGGCAATCAACACCTGGGCAATCCCAGTCATTAGGTACACAGCTGGAATAGTGGACTGGACTCAAGCAGAACTAAAAGCAATGGATAGGCAGACCAGAAAAATAATGACAATGAATCATGCCCTTCATCCACGCAGTGACATTGATAGACTTTATCTACCAAGGCAAATAGGTGGGCGTGGAATGCTACAAGTACATCAGATGGTTGAAGAAGAAAAAATGGCTTTGGAAGAATATCTGAAGAACAATGATGAAGATGCACTGAAATTAGTATATCAGGAAGGCTTACTAACTACTGGAGAGACCAAACTGGCCTACAAGAAAGACCAAATGAAGAACAGAATAGAGGCATGGGAAGACAAAGCACTACATGGCCAATACATTAAAAAAATAGCTGGGAAAGCAGATAATAATAAAACCTGGCAATGGCTAAGAGCAGGAAAATTGAAGAAAGAGACCGAGGGACTAATTCTGGCTGCACAAGACCAAGCCTTAAGGACAAATGCATACAAAGTCAAAATTGAGAAGACAGCAACAGACAGTAAGTGCCGCCTATGCAAAGAAGCTGAAGAAACAGTGGACCACTTGGTAAGCTGTTGCAAGAAGATTGCACAGACTGATTACAAGCAGCGGCATGACAAAGTAGCAACAATGGTGCATTGGAAGATCTGCAAAAAATATCATTTGCCTGTAAGCAAAAACTGGTGGGATCATAAAATAGAGAAAGTCATAGAAAATGATAAAATTAAACTGCTCTGGGACTTCAGAATTCAAACAGACAAGCACCTGCAACATAACACCCCAGACTTAACAATTGTCGATAAGAAAGACAAAAAAGTCTGGATAGTGGACGTGGCAGTGCCTGGAGATAGCAGAATAGACGAGAAAGAACTGGAGAAGATAACAAAATACAAAGACCTACAAATAGAAATAGAAAGACTGTGGCAAAAGCAAGCAAGGGTAGTACCAATAGTAATAGGCTCCTTGGGTGCAATCCCAAAACAACTGGAGCACCACTTGAACACCATTGGCATTGACAAATTCGCTATTAGTCAATTGCAAAAGGCAGCCTTGCTAGGAACTGCTTCCATCCTGCGACGATACGTGTAATACCATCAAACATCCACATCTGCCTATCCCAGCTCCTGGGTAAGGACTCGATAGATAGACAAAATGCCAAATGCAGTCTGAACATCTGGCTGACTGTGCAATGATCCATAATAATGATGATGATGACAACCATGTATGGATCGTGGACACTGCTGTACCTGGAGACAGCAGAAGAGAAGAGAAAGAACTGGAGAAGATAACAAAATACAAAGACCTGTAAGTAGAAATAGAACGACTATGGCAGGGGTAGGCAACCTTGGCTCTTTTATGACTGGTGGACTTCAACTCCCAGAATTCCTGAGCCAGCATGGCTCAGCTTGGGAGCCTCTCCCTTTCCCCTCAGCATGGCTGGCTCAGGAATTCTGTGAGTTGAAGTCCATGAGTCATAAAAGAGCCATAAAAGGTTGCCTACCCCTGGACTATGGCAAAAGAAAGCAAAAATTGTACTAATACTAATAGGCACGTTGGGTGCAATCCCAAAACAACTGGAGCACCACTTGAACACCATTGACAAGTGGTTAAGGCACCAAGCTAGAAACCAGGAGAATGTGAGTTCTAATCCTGCCTGACACATGAAAGCCACCCGAGTGACTTTGGGTCAGTCATTCTCTCTCAGCCCAACCCACCTCACAGGGCTGTTTTTGAACTGAAAGTAGAAAGAAGGAAAAGTATTAGGTATGTCTGTCTCAGTGAACTGAAGGTGTTCTTTGATGAATAAGAGAGCTGGAAGGGAACTTAGTTCCAGGTTCCTTCTCTCCTTGACGAGTTTCCATCCGTTGTTTCTTGTCCAGGGGCTTTGGAGAATAGCTTGACTGCCTCTTCTTTGGGGCAGCCCCTCAAATACTGGAGGACGGCTATCCTGTCACCCCCGGTCAGTCTCTTCATTAAACTAGACCAGGGGTGTCAAAC